TATCATCTACCCTAGCACAGTGCCCCTCATCCTCTCAACAACCAAACCTTCTATCATGTACCACTGGCGCAGTGCACCTCATAGTCTCAACTATCAAACATTCTATCATCTACCCTAGCACAGTGCCCCTCATACTCTCAACTATCAAACCTTCTATCATCTACCACTATCCTAGTGCCCCTCATACACTCACCTACCAAACATTCTATCATCTACCACTATCCCAGTGCCCCTCATACACTCACCTACCAAACATTCTATCATCTACTACTATCCTAGTGCCCCTCATACACTCACCTACCAAACCTTCTATCATCTACCCTAGCGCAGTGCCCCTCATACTCTCAACTATCAAACCTTCTATCATCTACCCTAGCGCAGTGCCCCTCATCCTCTCAACAACCAAACCTTCTATCATCTACCACTGGCGCAGTGCCCCTAATACTCTCAACTACCAAACCTTCTGTCATCTACCCTAGCACAGTGCCCCTTATACTCTCAACTACCAAACCTTCTATCATCTACCACTGGCGCAGTGCCCCTAATACTCTCAACTACCAAACCTTCTGTCATCTACCCTAGCACAGTGCCCCTTATACTCTCAACTACCAAACCTTCTATCATCTACCCTAGCACAGTGCCCCTCATACTCTCAACTACCAAACCTTCTATCATCTACCACTGGCGCAGTGCCCCTCATACTCCCAACTACCAAACATTCTATCATCTACCACTATCCTAGTGCCCCTCATACACTCACCTACCAAACATTCTATCATCTACCACTATCCTTGTGCCCCTCATACACCCACCTACCAAACATTCTATCGTCTACCCAGGCGCAGTGCCCCTCATACTCCCAACTACCAAACTTTCTATCATCTACCCTTGCGCAGTGCCCCTCATACTCCCAACTACCAAACATTCTATAATCTACCACCAGTACAGTGCTTCCCTTACACCCAACTACCAAACATTCTATCATCTACCACTATCCTAGTGCCCCTCATACACTCACCTACCAAACATTCTATCATCTACCACTATCCTAGTGCCCCTAATACACTCACCTACCAAACCTTCTATCATCTACCCTGGCGCAGTGCCCCTCATACTCCCAACTACCAAACATTCTATAATCTACCACCAGTACAGTGCTTCCCTTACACCCAACTACCAAACATTCTATCATCTACCACTATCCTAGTGCCCCTCATACACTCACCTACCAAAAATTCTATCATCTACCACTATCCTAGTGCCCCTCATACACTCACCTACCAAACATTCTATCATCTACCACTATCCTAGTGCCCCTCATACACTCAACTACCAAACCTACTATCATCTACCCTGGCGCAGTGCCCCTCATACTCCCAACTACCAAACCTTCTATCATCTGCCCTAGCACAGTGCCCCTCATACTCTCAACTATCAAACCTTCTATCATCTACCCTAGCACAGTGCCCCTCATCCTCTCAACAACCAAACCTTCTATCATCTACCCTAGCGCATTGCTCCCATACACTAAGCTACTATCAGTCGCCATCTCGTCAACTTGAAAGAGATAGTTGCCAATGTCACGTGTTTTCTCAGAACAATAAACTGTAGTACATCAAACGCTGGACCAAGAGTCGAGCCGAGACATTATCACATGCTCGTGTCAAACATCGAGCTGGGATCTACTGAAAGTGGCATCCCGCGTTATCATCATTTCCATTTTAGTCCAACAATGACACAAAGGGAAGGGGGTCGTTCACGGGCAAAATATCGCTTATGGAAAATGTAATATTGTCCCGGGAAATGCGTTGAAGGTAGCCCTAAAACATATGGTTCATTCTGCCTCCCACATCAAAGGCTTGACACCTGTTTCAGATAAAATCGTTATAAATTCCTTATGGTGGCAAACATCAATTAGGACAGAATCACAAGAAACCTTCTCCAGGTAAATTGTTCAATGAACGACCTCACCTCTGTCTACAAAGTCCACGCCATACATAAACGCCTGTACATTATGAGTGATTTCCATAAATATGTAGCCTTAACTTGTCACTTAACATGTACTCACCTACACTCACATTAATCACAAACTCAATGGCACTGCACAAGGAATCAAATCTGAATGTGTACTTACTAGCAGTGTTTTCATAGACTTCCTTTTGCTGAAGAAAATTATTTAGTCATCCTACAATAGGCACAGTGAAGTGTGGGTTGCACAAACATCTCTCATGTTTTTGACGCATGTGTACTGCTTATGATTCTCCTTGAAACGTAATCAATTCTAAACTGTGTGGGGAAAAATGAGACAATATACCCCCACCAAGATCCGAATTAAAACCTGGATTCTAGATTCAAGACGGAGTTAATAGTACCGACAGACGATATGTAATTCTTATGCATTTTGGAGGTGATTTATTGCGTAGATAACCCATGTGTGTAACCTGATAGCTTCTCCCTACGCAATACGGGCAGTTATGCTGGGCTATATGTTCAGTCCTCCTATGTTTAAGAATGTGCCAAGTCATGGAGAACCATTCCATCTACCTGTGGCGTTCATGTAATGTTATACTTGAACAGGTAGTTGATAGCATCCCATTCTCGTCTCCCCCATAACAAACGCGGGTCAGGTCGAATACGGCGTGGGACTGCTGTCAGCGGAAACTGATGGCTAGTTACAAATATACATTATATGTATGCCTTAATCATTCAGTTATCCCGAAACCTGTCATGGACTGAAATTCGAGCTTCTGCTGACGACATAACTTGAACCAGGATTTAATTATCCATAGCATTGTGAGTAATATTTAAAAGAAGACAGGTGAATTTTCTAGAAAAAATCACAAATGTTGAATACGTTTTCTTAGTTCTTGGTCTTCTGTTACAGTTTGAATAAGCATTATACACCTTACTCGGCGGATGCAGATGCGGAACAAAGCCTTCTTCTACATGTCATGTTTGTGATTATATAATTTCATAAAGACTTTCTGTCGGGCCGAATATGACATATCCAACCACTCCCACAGGACGCCATCCTTAGACACAGATGCGTCATACATTTCTCCTATGAAGTAAACACACTTGGAGTGGGCGGAGCATCACAAAGCTCTATCAACCTTCATGAGCCGGATATTCCGCGGACACTTGACACAGACGTAAAATCCCATAGCCTATAAGCATCGCTCCCCGCAGGTTGATGGCCGTGTTTTTTGTTTCCAACCTCTAAACCAAACCTACCAAACATTTCTAAGACAGGAAATATGTCGTCAACAAAAACCTGTACGGAGTGGCCCTGGAGAATGTCTTAAAGGGTATAATCTGACCGTCATTTAACTCAGGTGCAGCAACCCTAACGAGAATTATATACTCCTTTATGAAAGTGAAAATAGAAAAGACAGACCCATCCTCTACTGTACAAGTCCACTGTTGTTTACAACAACCAGGTTGACATACGGCTCTTCAGATGCCACGGCTTCTAAACGTTGTCAAACTTTATGATTCATTTTTTAATTGACTTTTAGAGAATCATGAAAACCATTTGACAGAAATATTGTATGAGACGAACACAAGAGTATTCCATGACCTAGAGACTGGCCAGGTGTTTACATCAGGACCCACTCAGCCTCGACGGCGGACGCCTCAGTGAACCTTGTCACGGTCTGTAGTGTGGAGACAGACAACTGACAAGTCGTATATATATATATATCAAAGACATGTGAACTCCACTACTGTTTCATATGTCATGCCCTACTTGTTAAAACACCCTCTGCTACACCAGCGCGGAACTCCCATACGTCCAGGGTATCTACATGAAATCAATGTTCACTTCCTTCACCACAATATTCTACTCATTCAGAGAGAAACAGAAAGTGACAAAGAAAACTTTCTACATTTGATAAACAAAGTGTTTTGTGTTTGAACGTGTTCATTGTTCAATATACGTTCACGGTTAACCAGACGGGGGGAGCTCCGTGTTAAAAAAGATGCTACCACCAGTTCGGAAATAGATGAATTATGATGGATTTCAAATACAAAAAAAAAAAAATCGATTTTAAAATCGACATGGATAACACTACACTCAATATCATATTTCTTCACACAGTAAATCGTGTCTCACAATGCTGGACACCTGCAAAGCAGAGATACAATGGACATTCCTCGCCTGGTTATTGTATATTTGGAGATCAGGTGTAAACGTGTATATGTTGCGCGTTTATCTACCTGTTAGTGAGCTCAGTACTTTTTGAAAGACACCGATCAAAGAACATCAGCTGCTTAAGACCAACTTAAGCCTCCAAGGACAAAACAATGTCCAAATATTGCTTCAGAAGCCCCAGGGGATCACCAGACTTGTCCTTTTATAAGCCTGTCGAGATGATTTAAAGAATGCGAATTGAAATTGGTGTTTTTGAAGGGACACCTGCTTTGCTCCCAAGCCGAGAAGTGGAGGCACTGGCAGAAATAACTCGAGGGTATGTGACATGAGAGTTATCTGCTCTTACCCCTTGCTGGGACTATTACTACTTTGTCTGAAATATCCCACTGAAAAGTGACATTGCTTTACTTTAATGTGTTTTCACAAGTGTGCCGCTGTGTTGATATTTTGAATTCATTTTAAATATTATTCATCATAACTTTAATCTGGGTTCTGAGCAAAATTTTATGGTCCCATTTACTTTGTAACCTAAACACATGACTTGTTACGTAAACACATGACAGCTTCAAACGAATTTTGAATAAGTGATCCGCCAGGGGAGATAGGTGTGCGATGTTTGGGCAGCTGTATGGCCGGGAATGAATAAGCGTCAACTAAACAGATGGTTTGTGAAATGAACTTACACTATTAAAAAAGCCAATACTCAATGCAAACACGATACAACCTACCATTCACAATGTCCAAAGAAGAGGTATTAGGAAGAACTTGAAAATAGTTAAAAAGAAGACAAGCGAAATCGTGAGTGATAAAACTTCTACAATATACGCTGAAACAGCCAGTCACTCACCGTTGTCTTGGGTAGTAACCTTGGTCCACTGCATATCTAGAACAAAGAATACAGTTTAGGCATTTCCCTCATGTAAAAATCTCCTTAAATAATTCTACGGAGCATTTCCCTGTTTTCCAAACAAACACGATATGAGACATAGGCCATAGGCAATCATGCCAAACGGATATTGATTTAGTCCGATCAAATACCTGACCGCAGGCGGGACTTTTAGGTCAAGGTCAAAGGTTAGCTGTATATCAAAGATGGCGGATCGATGTATATAACTTTATTTGGCCACAGGTGTTTCCGTACTGTCACTGCAAGCAAGCTGGTCCCGCACTCCCGCGTTTCAATGACATGCAAAACCTGAGACGGAATCCAGCAAATCAAATGGATGGGCGTTGCTAATGGTTACGTCATTAATAATATGTTGTCATATTGATTGCGAATGATTACAATGACACCACTATGCAATATACCTAATGGAACTGAAAACATATGTGTTTGTAAAGGTAATCGTGTAGAAGGCAGTTGCATTTCCTTATGTAATCGTTATTAATTGCGCGAAAAAAATATTCGAAATCATATATAAATAAAGCGACAAATCCCTTTCCATGATTCATAAGAAATCTCTGCCGCATACTTGGCAATGGACTGCAACGTAACCTAACATTTAAACCGTCGTGGAGAGTAAGAACACGGACCTACATCACACTTTAGAACGTTGGAAGAAAGAACAAGCACAGAGCGACACATCATCCCTGTCTCACCCTTGTCGCACATGTACAGCTAACATCTTGTCGATCACACCAGATGCTTTGACCTGACTGACACGACACACGGAAATCTACATGTGTCAATTGCACTACTGCCACTGTCTGTTGACGTGATGTATGGGCAGTCCCTGCAACACGACCCGGCATCTATACACGATATTCACATGACTCAAATGATTTATATGAAAGGTCGTGCGCTTGGATATCTGATTTCAAAATTCGGATCGAAATTTTATGGAGAACAAAAAAACTTCCCCGACGGTCGCAATCAATGTGAGGAAGAAACTGTTTTCCTCGTTGACAGAGGTAAAGTTACCATTAGCTGGTCCATATGCACATAAGCCGGAATTTCGCGGGAATTTAATATCTTTCATCATTAAGTGCTTACGTTAACATGATTTTGCAGGTGCGTACATGTATAGTATTACTGTATCTGAATAACTGAGTTGCGCAGGGGATTAACGCCACTTTTAACAAAATACTTTGTCGTGAGATTCGAACCCAGGACCAGCAGTTCCTGATAGCTTGGGCATACATCTTTTCACAACACCACTGCATGACCTGAGAAAAGCACAAAGGCACTAACTTACTAAGGGCAATGGCGCGGCAGTATTTCAGCGTTAAGACTAATGCAACTCGAGATCGAGGTTAATCGGGAATTCGTCATGAGTGAGTGAATAGGGTGTCATGCCTCCTTTTGCATATTCCAGCTATTTGAAAGCAGGGTACACCAGAAATACACTTCCCATATTGCGCCCATGCGGGGCATCGAACCCGTGCCTTCGGTTTGACGAGCGAACTATTAACCCCTTGGCTACACCAACCTTCTAACTATACACTGTCATAAACGTATAGAAAAACATTATTATTACATACTGCTGTCAAATCTTATAGATACACACTGTTGTCAAATGTTACAGATACCTACTGCTGTCAAATCTTATAGATACACACTGTTGTCAAATGTTACAGATACCTACTGTTGTCAAATCTTACAGATACACACTGTTGTCAAATGTTACAGATACATACTGTTGTCAAATCTTACAGATACACACTGTTGTCAAATCTTATAGATACACACTGTTGTCAAATGTTACAGATACCTACTGTTGTCAAATCTTACAGATACACACTGTTCTCAAATCTTACAGATACACACTGTTGTCAAATCTTACAGATACACACCGTTCTCAAATCTTATAGATACACACTGTTGTCAAATGTAACAGATACATACTGTTGTCAAATCTTACAGATACACACTGTTGTCAAATGTAACAGATACATACTGCTGTCAAATCTTATAGATACATACTGCTGTCAAATCTTATAAATACATATTGTTGCCAAATCGTACAGATACACACTGTTGTCAAATCTTACAGATACACACTGTTGTCAAATCTTACAGATACACGCTATTCTCAAATGTTACAGATACACGCTGTTCTCAAATGTTACAGATACATACTGCTGTCAAATCTTAGAGATACACACTGTTCTCAAATCTTACAGATACACACCGTTCTCAAATCTTACAGATACACACTGTTGTCAAATCTTACAGATACACACCGTTCTCAAATCTTACAGATACACACTGTTGTCAAATGTAACAGATACATACTGCTGTCAAATCTTAGAGATACACATTGTTCTCAAATCTTACAGATACACACTGTTGTCAGATCTTAGAGATGCACACTGTTCTCAAATCCTACATACACGCTGTTGTCAAATCTTACAGATACACACTGTTCTCAAATCTTATAGATACACACTGTCTCAAATCTTACAGATACACACTGTTGTCAAATCTTATAGATACATACTGCTGTCAAATCTTAGAGATACACACTGTTCTCAAATCTTACAGATACACACTGTTGTCAGATCTTAGAGATACACACTGTTCTCAAATCCTACATACACGCTGTTGTCAAATCTTACAGATACACACTGTTCTCAAATCTTCTAGATACACACTGTGTCAAATCTTACAGATACACACTGTTGTCAAATCTTATAGATAAACAATGTTGTCAAATGTTACAGATACACACTGTTGTCAAATCTTACAGATGCACACTGTTGTCAAATCCTACATACACGCTGTTGTCAAATCTTATAGATACACACTGTTGTCAAATGTTACAGATACACACTGTTGTCAAATCTTATAGATACACACTGCTGTCAAATCTGACAGATACACGCTGTTCTCAAATCTTACAGATACACACTGTTCTCAAATCTTACAGATGCATACTTTTGCTTAATCTTACAGATACACACTGTTGTCAAGTGTTACAAAAACATCAAGATTAACTTTCAGGTACATATTGTTGTCTAATCTTTCAAAAACACATTGTTCTCAAATCTTACAGATACAAACTGTTGTCAAATCTTACAGCTACACACTGTTGTCAAATGTTAAAGATACATACTGCTGTCAAATCTTATAGATACATATTGTCGCCAAACCTTATAGATACACACTGCTCTCAAATCTTACAGATGCATACTTTTGCTAAATCTTAAAGATACACACTGTTGTCAAATGTTACAAAAACAACTGTTGTCAAATGTTACAGATACACACTGTTGTCAAATGTTACAGATACAAACTGTTGTCAAATGTTACAAATACACACTGTTGTCAAATCTTATAGATACACACTGTTGTCAAATGTTACAGATGCACGCTGATCTCAAATCTTACAGATACACACTGTTGTCAAATGTTACAGATGCACGCTGTTCTCAAATCTTACAGATACACACTGTTGTCAAATGTTACAGATACATTCTGCTGTCAAATCTTATAGATACATATTAGTGTCAAATCTTAGAGATACACACTGTTCTCAAATCCTACAGATACACGCCGTTGTCAAATCTTACAGATACACACTGTTCTCAAATCTTACAGATACACACTGTTCTCAAATCTTACAGATGCATACTTTTGCTAAATCTTAAAGATACACACTGTTGTCAAATGTTACAAAAACAAACTGTTGTCAAATGTTACAGATACACACTGCTGTCAAATCTTACAGATACACAATGTTGTCAAATGTTACAAATACACACTGTTGTCAAATGTTACAGATACATACTGTTGTAAAATGTTACAGATACACACTGTTGTCAAATCTTACAGATACACACTGTTGTCAAATCTTACAGAATGAATGAATGAACGAATGCCTTTATTTCCTTCAGACAAATCCGAAGATTCTCAAAACATCAAGATTATATAATTAAATAATTTAATAACAACATAAACAACAAATTTAAGCCTATATACAGTGAGAAATATTGGTAATATTACCACAAGTTGTTTAGGATATGTTTAATTTCATATAAAAACTTTGAGAATTCTATAATAATGAAATGACACGTCTTTTCATCAATAAAAGATACAGATGCACACAGCTGTAAAAGGTTACAGATGCACACTGTTGTCAAAATCCTTCAAAACAACGCCATTATGTCAAATCCAGTACCGTCTTTCCTCACACCGGGAAGGTCTATCCAGGTGGTATAAACGGGTGTGTGGGAGAGGGGGGATATATTTTGGTGAATGAACATTAAACCGCTGATTAGGCATCAAAGGAGTCCCGCCAGGTACGAACAGAGGACAGCGTTCTATCTGGTGATGTATCGGTCCCAGGCAGGACGTCATTACCGACACCAGCGCCAAATCACAAGCATAATCTACAGCGGACTTCTACAGCCTACAATAAATGTTGTCTGTGTGGAAAAAGGGAACTACCCATTAATCAAGCGGCGGTGCGCCTCTCCGTCTGACATACAATTTACGTACACGGAAACAGGACTGTTATTCGTCTTATCTTACACACCAACATACTTTAAGTCCAACTGTTTTCATATTGATATTAGACAAATGCCTTTCATAACGACAGTGAACACATGGGAGTTTTAGTAGAAGTATTGATCCCTCTGAAACTAAGACATTTCACAGGTATATGGTTCCTACATTATTCTAAATTACGACCGTGCAAATGTCCAAGTTAACATTTTGGTTCTATTCTTCACACACTTTCACGGGTTAAGACCACACGTATTTAATTAGTAAGAAGAAATCCTGTAGTCAGAGGTACGATATGGTCTTATCATACGACAAGAAAGTCATTCACAGGTCTACAGATGTAGCCGGGGTGTGAGTCTCCTTCACAAGGTGGGGGATACAACAAAGTCTGTACTTCCTACACCGCTGACTAAACAGTTACATAAAATACAGCACAC